TGGCGGGAACAGAGGACGCCGATGATCTCGAGAAAGCGCGGGAAAGCGATTCCTCGTTTGTATGGGACGCCAGCTCCAATCTCTACTTCCACACTAGGTTCCTAAACTTCTCCCTGTCAATTTCCCTCCTAATTTTACGCTTCCTAGGGTTTTCTCTATTTCTAGGGTTTTCTCTATCGTAAGAGTCGACTAATCTGTCACTTAGTTTCAATTAATTTTTATTGGCAGGCTTTAAGAGAGGACAATCGAGAGGGGGGGGGGAGGAGGGGGAGAAGAAATGTCTGAGATTTTATTAAATTTTTTCTTTTGAAAAAAAGAAGAAGAAGGAAATTACGTTAGGACTTCATTACTACTGTTACAACACAGCGATGATGCAAAGGAATCTGACTATCAAGGGTTATTTTGCGCAATAATTGTTTATAATTTAGTAAAATTCTGTAAATTGATGTCATATTTTGTTCAATTCTCATTAACTCTTTGAGGAAATTTCTGGTTTTTCGTCTTGCAGTACTGGATTTTATCATGATCCAAATGCTGGATGGTATTACAGCAGTAGAGATGGTCTCTATTATACATTTGAGAATGGAACCTACGTGCCAATGACATTTGATAAGGTAGAGACTGAGCTTACTTCTCTCTGTGTCTTCTTTATTTTATTATTATTATTATTATTATTATTATTATTATTATTATTATTATTATTATTATTATTATTATTATTATTATTATTATTATTATTATTATTATTATTATTTTGAGATTAAAGGTGAGCATAACCCCCTCATTTAAGTAATATAAGACTTTGTTGAGACATTTGCATGTACAAAAAGTATCCAAGCGTAACAAAAGTAAAACAAATGAAAGTTGTTCATTTGGATATTGAGATTTTTTGGAAGTTTGACTAGATCATCACAATCGATGTAAATGATTTCTTTGTTCTTTAAACTGGCTCAGATTCAGGATGAAGGATCTGAATCTAGGAACCACACGAGTATTGCTGGCAGTGAACCTGTTGAAAATAAAAAATGTATGGTATTTCATAATCCTATCCGCATTGAGTTTGTAGTTTATTTCATGCTCCAATAGCTTATGTCCTGAATTGTATATTTATATGTCTATGAAAAGATTGTTGTTTTATGCAGTGACATGATATATCTTTTGTATTAGCCATGCTACAGGATTGTTTATCCTTGAAGTTATGAGATCAAACCAAATTACTGTTAGAGGTGAAACAACAACATGAACTAGTAGTAAAGTAGGTTTGTTTCCTTTTTTGGTAGGTGAAGAAGAACATTTCATGGGTGATGGGCTTGAAAATCAGCAACCACCATCTGAATGGTTAGTGATTGAGTATGATCTGATAACATTAACACGATTTGGATCGTTCGCACTGGGGGGACCTTTACTCCAATCACAATTGTCTATTATCTAGTAATTTGGAATTCATTCTAAATCTAGCACTTATAATATCCTCCTTGATTATTTCCACTCTTTAATAAATCAGAACTGTTTATTAAATAATGCATGGTTGTAACTAAAATAGTGTTCTCTCCCCCTGCTTTGCTAGTGGAGAGTATCCAAACCCCTGATAATATCAATGTCATATTAGGTGATATGGATTGACCTTTTGTTGTTCATCAGTTTGAACCATTAGCCAGTTGAGCTGTTATTTTGCAGGTTAGAAGAGACATTGATTAATATTTATTTATCGGGTAACTCCAACTTGGGTTGTGGTGCTCAGAACTCAACAACTTTGCAAGGGAACGGTGAGTACAACTCAAGCTGATTAATTGGTGCTCTTCCTACATGACAATACTAGGAGTAATTCAGGCTAAATTGACCTTACAAAGTTGTATTGATCAGAAGAGGAGCAAAGTCTGATCCCTTGTGGAGGACCTGCTGATCAGTTTGCTTCAGATGAATTACCTGGTTGTCATCAAGTTGAGCAAGTAGAAGAAGCATGGATCACCGAGGATGAGCAAAATGCCTTCACTAGTATATCCTCAGAGGAAGGTCAATGTTATTTTTTTAATCTGCTATTTTGATATATTTTCTTCTATTTCAAGTAGATATTTATAATTTTGCTATCACCTTATGATATTTTTCAGTTATAAGTTCAAGCACAGAACAAATGGTCAAAATCATATGACATTGAGATAGATCTAGTTCCATATTATTTTGAAAGAAAGAAGATTCATCTTAAAAGAAAGGAGTCGTCCTTCCTTTCCACGCGCTTGTTATAGTGTTTTCAGTCGCCAAATTATGGCCCCTTGCCAACAACAGACAAATATCTCCCGTCACGCACCATTCAATCAACTCAACACTAAGGACAGTTAGGGTCCCGACCTAGCCGACTCGTCGAGTCGACATCTCGCTAGGTCGATTGGAATGGCGGTACTTGTCAGTCCTCTCATCAGATACGACTCGCTACAAATTCACTCAACCAGTTAATTAGCCGGCGTCTCGCTGGGTCGACTCGAAAGATATTACTTCTTGACGGCCTTCGACATAAGTCAAAAGGCAACTTCGACCTCGGACCCCCCGCTGACAGCGCATCGACATCACATTAAATGCTTATAGGCGTCATTATTTCTCCATCTCCGGCACTATCTTTGACACATCGGACCACCCCAGCTTCGTGTGCGACCTATCCCATCTCATTAATGCCAAAGTGACAATGCTCTTTCCATGACCACTCCATAGCTGACATGCATAAAGTCGATGCTGACTCAGCCGTCAGCTCAGACTTGGCGGGGAAAGACTAAAATGCCCCACTGCATGGCTATAAGAAGAAAAACTATTCCCAATGCAAAGGTAAGCAATTTCTCAAAATTCTTCTCCACTCCACTACATTTAAGAACTCACACAGTTATCACTTCCCGTTTAAGTCTATCATTGACTTAATCGTCGGAGGAACAACGGGGAACTAGTTCCCATCCTCTTACGAGTTGCTATTTATACAGGAAGAAACAACTCAACTCAAAACCAGATATTCGGAGAAGTTAGCGGCCCCTAATCAACATCACCCTCATTACATTATCTGTGTGATTATTAACATCAACAGTTTTGACACCCACCGTGGGGCCTTCTCTCTTTTCCGAGCAAGTATGTCTGGTTTTGAGTATAGGGCTGATTAGTCCATCCCTAGAGGACTACACCAGAGCTACGTTACTCAAGTCTAGCTTAAAGAAACGGCTTAGAAGATCTCTCAATCCCACTAATAACAGCTCGCTACCTTCACCAGCGAGCTCCTCAGCCGGTTTCCACAATCGCAACAAGCTATTTTCATCATTCCTCCTCCCTCAGGAGACCAGCAATCGGGGACTCGCCCCTTTCAGAAGCTCTGCATGTCTTCCTCCCTCGGACTCCTTACACTGCCGCCAAGCAGCGGAGAGATCACGTCGAACACGGGACCTCGCCACCACACCAGTCATCTCGCATGACGGATCCTCGTCGACGCCTCCTCCCTCACTCTGAAGCCACCGGCGAGAGACCCGGCCCTAGTCGCCCAAAGGAGCATGCCAGGGGAGGGATATCCAAGACTCCCCGTAGTCAACATACCTCTCCAACCCCCTCAGCCACCCATGGAGCATTTGGATATGATCGGGTGTACAGAACCATCGCCAAAGCTATTAGAGGGAACACCTCCTTACCGATGACCTCATGAACGCCCCATGCGAGAAATTCAAGATGCCTTACATGGAGAAGTACAAAGGCGAAGGGGACCCCGTCGAGCATGTCCAGAACTATTATGATATGATGAGCATGCTCTAAGCGTCAGAAGCTATTATTTACCAGTGCTTTCCCATCACTTTGTCGGGGAGCGCCAAGCTATGGTGGAATGCCATTGAGAAAAAGTCTATCAGCAGCTTTCAGTAGTTCAGTCAGAAGTTTATCCATCATTTCTTGGCTGACACCAAACAGAAGCTATCCCCTCATGTGTTAATACAAATGAGGCAGAAGCCTGGAGAGAGCCTTCGAGCCTACTTTAAGAGGTTCTAAGCGAAGAGGCTGGAGGTCAACAACCCAGGAAGTTCGGTTGCTATCTCCGCTCTTGTAGTCGACCTGCAGAACAATGAATTGGCCTACTCGTTGGCCAAGAAGTCAGTCGTCAATTATGAACAACTGATGACCAAAGTTCACAGGTATATGAATATGAAGGATGCCCAAGCATATAAGACAGCAGTACCGATGGTGGTGCTAACACTAGAGTTAGTTAGGGGCCCACCAACAAGGTAGGAGTAGCCGAGAGATTCCCCGAGAGTTGACCCCCGCTCCAACCTGTCCGACAGGAAGGATCGACGGAGGTACCCGACACCTAGACCCGCTCTCACTGTCCACTTAACCAGTTAATTAGCCAGTGTCTCGTTGGGTCGACTCGAAAGACGTTACTTATTGACGTCCCTCGACACAAGTCAAAAGTCAACTTCGACCTCAAACCCTCCGTTGACAGCGCGTCGATATCACATTAAATGCTTGACAGACGCCATCATTTCTCCATCCCAACACTATTTATGACATATCAGACCCTATCGGCTTCGTACGCCGCCTATCCCATCTCATTAATGCCAAAGTGACAACCCTCATTCTGTGACCACTCCACAACTGACACGCACAAAGTCGACGCTGACTCAGCCGCCAGTTCAGACTCGGTGGGAAAATACTAAAATGTCCCTCCTGCATGGCTATAAAAAGGAAAACTATTCCCAATGCAAAGATAAGCAATTTTTCAGAATTCTTCTCCACTACACTACACTTAAGAACTCGCACAGTTCATCACTTTCCCACTCAAGTCTATCACTGACTTGATTGTCAGAGGAACAACATGAGAACTAGTCCTCGTCCTTTTACGAGTTGCTATTTGTGCAGGAAAAAAAAGTTCAACTCAAAACCAGATATTCGGAGAAGTTAGCTGCTCCTAATTAACCTCATCCCCATTACATTATTTGTGTGATTATTAACATCAATAGCGCTCATGTTATGTCATTCTATTTTATATGTAGGTGCTTCACTAGCTGAAGAAACTTGGCAAGCTCAGTATGGTCAGGTTGTACGGGTTGAGGATGAAGGTGCACCTCGTTTCCCCATTATCGATCTATGGGATTGGGAATTGATTGCAGAGACTCTTAAAAAAAGGCGCCATGTTGCAAGGTTGTTTGGAAGGGTTACTCGAAATTCCCATAAGCTCCATCAGTCAGCTCCTCGTGCTCTTTTGAAAACGGCACCTATATGTGATGTTCATCTCGACTTAGTTCGTGTTACATCAGGTATTTGTCTTCAACCGTTTGAGAGCATTTATTCCTTCATCGTTGAGTTATGATTAGCTTGCCATCTACTTTTGAGTTCTACTACCAATTATTTAGGGGGAAATAAGTACGCAATTACTTTTCAACATTTTCATTTGTAATGAAATGAATTCTTTTTTTATAAAATTTTGTTCTAAATCCAAGTTGTCTCTATCATTCACATGTTCGTATTTTGTCAAATATTTTTTTATTTATCACATATTTTTTTCTGAGTGCAGGTATCTTAATTTATTTGGTTGTTTGCTTGCTTTTTTGGCTCAGGAAAAGTGTACAAGTTGAGGACCCCTAGCAAACATTATTTGGACAAATTATCAGCATACGAGTCTTCAAATCCAACAAAGGATTGGGGTTTTCCTGATCTATTTGTCAATATGCACAACATTGATTCAGTTGGTTTGAATCAAACTTATACCAACACTACAGATGCAGTTATGAGGGGAAAATCTTCTGCTACTCTTGATCTAGCGCCTCCATTCCAAAAGGTAACTGTATCTTTCACACGTTAATTTAAAATTCATCAATGAAGCTCGTATATAACAGTTGAAGCAGTACATGATGCCTATATATTCATTTTTATTATTTTATTCTTGATCTAGTCATATCTGCTGAATAATTTGACCACTCCCTTCTTAACACGAGTTGTCTCTTTTACTTTTTTCTCCCTTTGGCTTCACCCAATAGTCCTCTCATGCTATTACTGGACTTTGCTTCATATTGCGAACCATGCTATTGCTCACCTGACCTTGTATTCTCAAACCTTTTTATGATCTCTTAATACTCTGTGCTCTTCTTAGTTTATCTGACACCAAACTTGACATGCTTATATCTGATCAAACTATTTTCTAGTATTGGGTTTCATGGTTAGTTATTCGTCCTTTACTCAGTTTACTGTATAGATCTTCTATTGATGGGTGAATTCTACGTGCCAAACTGACTTTCATGACATTTTAAAAGTCAATTACACAAACCACCACAACCCCCCACCCCCTAAAAAAAGGAAGGAGGGGCCTTCCACATAACACTCCTGAACTTTATTTTATCTGACATAACACCCTCCCCCTTGGCCCCTCCCCCTTGGGGGTGGGGACTCTGGGGTGTCTAACAAGACCCCTCCTTAAAAAAAAACTTTTCTCACAGGATCCCCATACATATAATTTGCAAATAAATAAAATTCCTTGAGAGAGAAAACCTCGAAATTTGTGGGCTTGAGTTTGTTGCATGTAAATGACAAATGACAAAATTTTAGATTTTTTTCTCTCAAGGATATTTTATTTATTTGCAAATTAAGAGAGAGAAGGAGGGGCACTGGTGAGAAAAGGTTGAAGTTCAAGGTGCTTTTGCGAGACACCTCCGGGTTTTTTAGATAAACAAGGTTCAAGGGGGTTATGTGAACAACCCAGATTTTAATTACAAATTTTGTTGGGCAAGACTTTATTAGTCTGCAGATGAGAATATAGTAAGACTGTTTCTTTATTAATCTTAGGCTACGTAGGACTTAAAAATTTAAGAAAAACTAAGTTGTCGGTATAGTGCATGTTGACAATCAAGAGGAGTAATCATTTTCATTATTTTGAATTAATCATTCATCGATGTCAATGATAGAGATTGAGGATGATTTGCTTCATCAAATTGAATCGGAATAGTTGAAATGGATGACTGCTTTCTATGGGATAGTACAGTTCACATGAAATTGAAAGGAAAACTCTAGGACAGCTGTAAGACCAAGAAGTATGGGTTGGAATGTTGAGCAATTAAGAAATAATATGTGTAGGAAATGAATGTAATAGAAATGAGAATGTTACTATGGACATGTCAGTATATACCTAGAGATAGGGTAAATAACGATTGCATCCAAAGGACGGTAGAGTTTACACATTAGGGATAAATTTAGGGAGAATTAGAATGTTTTAGCCATATACAACAGGGATCAGCCAATTAGGAGAACCGATGAGATTCTAATGTATGGAAGATGTCACGCCCCGGTTCCAAAGCGTAAATATTTAGAACGTGACTTGGCCGACAATGCAACCACTCGGCCACATTCACACCTCTAAGTCATACTGTATATAGATATACAACCAAAACTACACCACAGAGCATGTAACTAAGATAACAAAAGAAATATATAGATAAAGAAATCTCCAGAAAGACAGAGTTCAACTATAAGTCCACAATTATCCACAATGGAAAACAGTAAGAAAAAATACATCATAGTCTTCTAGCCACATGTAGCTAAAGGAAAAGTCTGAATCAAATAACTACCTAAATAATTCAAACTGAAGAACGGATGGAATAAAATGTGATCACTGCCGCTAAATAGAAAAGCAGACTGTTAGACTATAATATTACCATAAATGTTTGCCTGGTTAATTGATCATGCCTTCCTGCCAAAACTTAGTATTTCTATTGTTTGGAATTATTGGCAATGCCTTGGAATGGGAAGCACTTTGATATTTTGCATAGAATTATAGCTTTTGGTTTTCCGTTTGCTTTAACACGGTTTGAGCATTATGCTCTGTGTTTGTTGTGCATGTGTTTTTGTAAGTGTTGGAGGCAGGGGTTGAAGTTACTGGTGTAAGTTACTTATGTCTGCTGTCCTGTTTTCCTTACAGTGTGGCAGTCTACCTTACAGAGATAGAGCTGCTGAGAGAAGAGCTTTACATGGTGGATACAGCATTGGCCCCGGGCAAAAGAACTTAGGTAGCAACTTGTATGAAGAAGAGTGGACATCACAAAATTCTGATCCTGCAGAAGCAGCAGCAGAAGCCATGAACATGACATTTGGGAAGGGAAGTTATGCTAGAAGAGTTATAGAAAAGATGGGCTGGAAAGAGGTAAGTTTATAGCTAATAATGTCGAGTATGTTTTCATTATGCTCAATAGTTTGCACCTTCAAATCTAAATGCTAAGAAAGATACAGGTTTATGGTAGTTTAAACCTTCCCCTCATTTCAACAATTATGGAGTTTTATGGCAGTTCAAACTTCCTTTCGTTTCAACAATCACAACAAGAAAATCGGAGTCCTCCAGAGGAAAATACATTCAATTCACTAACTGTCCGAGAACTTTGATTCAATAAAGATAAACAGTCCAAAAACATAATGAAATTGAAACTAAAACATACTAATGGTCCAAAACTATGAGTCAAACCAAGGCACTGGCTAGAATCAAAACCCTTAAATGGAGCAAAATTGATTCTTTTCGATACCTCATCTATATATTTAAGCCATCTGTTCACCACTGAGTATGTTATGTCAGTTCTAGGCAACTTATCCCTGGAAATGGATGTGTATGTGTATGATTTTTCCCCCAACTTACCATCTGCTATGAGATCTTCAACTTTCAAGGCTGTTGAAAGTTTTAAGGTTTTCACTAGGATATATAATATTGGAGAAGGTTTATGCTAAACGTATCATTTGAATAATATACTAATACTGAAGATTAGATATTGTATTCAAACTATTGATACTTTATGTTGCTCTATTGTCTTTTAGATCATTTTGTTTTACAATTAGCAAACATTAATTCTGGTTTGATATTGAGATACAAACCTAGATCTTATATTCTTCTGTCGTAAGATATATTTTCGATATTAATATGCCCTTTCTTCTGTCTGATTATGTTAAAGGGAGAAGCTCTGGGGTGCACAAATAAAGGCCTTTTAGAACCTCTTCAAGCTGTTCCTAACAAAGGCTATGCTGGTTTGGGATGGAACCATACTCGTTGAAGCAGTTTGTACATCTCTTGTAGCTATCGCTATCTCAGTTTAGTAAAATTTGCAGCTATACAAGTTTGAAATAATGTACTCATGTATTTCTTGAATATCTTCTTTATGAGATATAATAGAGATCTTTCAAGGTACCATTATATGCAGGTGATCCTTATGGCTAGTGCTAGGAGCTGCTGCTCTTGAGCTGTACTTGCTTCTACTTTAACAAGTCTTAGTGTTGTAAGCTCAGAACTTAAAAGGTCTATTTTCTCAATGGGAGAGGGGGCGAGGTAAATTATGTTGAAATTTTTGGTTGGAAGTACTACGTGAAATCTTATGCATATCGCATGGTGAGATTTTGTGGATGATGAATAACAATGACATAATCTAACGGACAAGCATATCTATGTGATGTATCAATCTGTGATGGTTATGTATCTTGTACCCTGAGGCCTAATCTTGACAACTCTGCTCGAGCAAATTTTGGTTTTGCCATTCAATTTCTCGGTCAAAGGATTATAGTTATTGGCAACTACAAATGCATATGCAAATTATATTGAGCTTCTATCTAAATAGTCCTCGGTCTTGCATGTTAATTATGCTATAGTCACTTAATGTGTATCTATAGTATTTCTACGAAAAAAAATACATGTTCATAATGCACTGATGAAAATAATAAGAATTTATTAAAAAAAGTATGTTTATCTTTTGTGCATCTAAAATTATTTTTGTATCCTCCATTATAATAAGAAGAAAGAAATTGAGCTTAAAATTCATATAATAGATTATTGAGCATTATTTATTATATGCCACTCCCTAATGTACATTGTGCTGCATTTTTTATTTTCTTAAATTTTGTGATTTTTAAAAGTAGCCATGCATGAAATTTTAAATTTTAAATTTGAGAATAAAGTTTAAATTTGAGATGGGGGAATGAAAGTAACGAAGCCATCTAAAAAGAGGGGAGTGAAGTTTAAATTTGAAATAACATGAATGATTTGAAATTTGAAAGCAACG